ACCCTGTCCAGATCTACCTCCCACCACACCCATCGCCAACACGTGGTGCTTCGCTATATCGCTTCTCACGTCACACTGTCATATCACTCACTGCTCCATTTATCACACGCAAATAACTCGCACCCATCCACCACCGGACCCAATCACTCTCCACCTCACCACCCACTCATCACCTTCTGCCTGGCTCATATTTCCCTCCATCACACCACGCCCAAAGTGATGGGCCTTTCTCCTTTCCCTCCGAGTCAGAGCCCAGAGGCTCTGACCTTGTGGCCTGGCCTTTTCCGCAGTCAAAAACATGCCCTCTGCACAGCTCAATATGACCCTGCACGAGCCCCTGTGACCCTTTAACCCATGTGACCTCTGTGACCCGGTCTCGTGCCCGGACACGCGCGGTCGCGTCGCCCGTGACCGCCGCTATAGCCTTATTTCATCGTTCATATTTCACTCGACGTTTAATAACGCGATTGGGTGACGAGCCTCGAGCGCGGCCTGGTAATCGGTGGAAGTGAGAACACCATCAGCGCGCGCCAGGAATTTGTGTGCCGACGAGGCGGCCGTAAACTTGGGCCCGGAATAATCGCATCAGGTTTTGCTTGCATAGTGCCCAGGAAAAAAAAAAAACGTTACGAGCGTTTTTGCCGGCGTCGCTGGTTGATGAAGGCAATGATCCATGCAAGCCACATCATATATTGACTGATTGCGATAACGATATGCGACACTGGATAAGCCTACCAAATAGTCAACATCTTCAATCACGTATGGTAAAGGTCAATGGACATTATCAATGAAAATAACGAGATATTAGAATCTAGTTTACCCAAGCGTACCTACACAAGAATAAACATATGACATTTCCTATCTGAAGTTAAATCGCGTAAGTACCTAATACTTCAATAATGTTAGGATGCAACTTCTTTTTTAAGAATGCAGATAATGCTGTTGCCTGTTGATAGTACATGTCTGTATGTATGTGTTGGCAGTAACATGATTTCGAAATTGCCATATATCTCATCGTCTGCTGCTTAACAACTAAAGGCACACTTAGGTTTTAAAAATGAAACAGAAAGAACTCATTAAATCTTATGGAAAACGTGTCCTCCCTACCCTACAGAACTCAAAAGCCAAAAATAGTAACTTTCATGCGCAACAACGCGTATGCATCGTTGAACCTTGTGATTTGTGAGACATTTCCATAATACAGCTCAATGTGGGGCCGTTCATCTTGGCTAAATATAAAACTTACACATCAGGTTATCCGGTTCAGCAGTCGATTTCTCGGACGACCATGACCATCGAGCATTGATGGACAGTTATTGAAGACATCCATTACCGTCTCGCCGATAACTTATCCGGAACAATTTAAACCCTTCAAATTCAGTGCCACACATCGCCTGATATTGGGCTTCCAGTCGTACTAGAGGAATGTGCAGAAGTTTGCCATTGCTGTGCACCATTTAAGAAGTTTAATGGTGGGGTATGTAGCGGTAGGCTTCCGCGAATCTGTGTTAAACTTAGGTGCCGCTTGCGATGTGCTGCAGTTGGTTTGTTAAAAGGTGACTTGCCTAAGGCAGATTCTTCACGGTCATGAAACGGTAAGCACAAAAAGTTTTATACAGAGCAGCCAAATATGCATCTTGCATATCGGTATTTCGAAACTAGGACAGATTTCAAAAATGTTCTCGATGAAAAAAAATCTGATCCCTCTCGTTCTACCAGAATATTACAATTCTGTTACCTTTGATGCTTGAGCATAAAAGTCAAAAGATGTGAGTTCTAAGAGGCGAGACTCTAAATTTTAATATGCCAATTCCTAATATCAAGGTAATTGTGTTGTTCATCTACCTGACATTTATAAAGCCAAGTGAATCTTTTTATCATTGGTCATTAGACGTGAAACGTATTAATTAAGATAGATACGCACTATAAGAATGGTTACGATGAAACGAAGAAAAGGTTACGAATAAGAATACGAATTAAAAATGAAAGCAAACTATGATGTAAAACAAATGCACTATACCAAGAAACATGTAGTTATGGATGAGTAGCTATTTTCAAAATGTCCGATGTGCTGAAATACACCGTACAGATATACGTTGGAAAATTTCGATCGCCTATTGTGAGAATATATGAGAAATCCTTACCGATAGCACGCGCAATATTCAGACATCTGCATGGAACCAGGACGATTGCGTCAAATTTACCGTAACCATTACCAGAAGCCGTCCCGGATTCGAAATCCTGCCCGGGTGTCGGTTGATGTAAGCATCGAGCTCAGCCCCGTGATTCCCCGAGCAGTTACTTCGCTCATTGGTTACCTCGATTCCAACGGATCAGCTCCAATACTCTCAGCTATCGGAGCCTTTCTGTGACCATTTCTAGCGGAATGATCTCCGGGGATTCTTTTAACGTTCCGTAAATCATAGTGACTCTCCCGGTCGGCGGCAGACCCCAGGCCCGGAAACAGTCTGCCCGCGACGCGCCCATCGGACGGCGTGATCCCTCGGCCTTCTCCTGAACGAGAGCGGCTACCGTGATGGGGTGCATTTGTTAGTGTATCGATTGGACCGAACGGCTGATCGGACGCGGCTGCAATCACTGACCAATGCCAGCCACTGCCACCCAGAGATGCCTCAGACCGATCTCCACCGCAATTTATATTGCGTCTTGCAACAACTCAGCGTCGAATTCCGGACATATCGCAGCAACTCAGTGCTGAGTTCTGGGATTGCATTTTCGGTTTCGTGTCGCAATAAGTCAAGTAAGAATTTTTCCGAGCACTTCAACCGGCAGTTTTGACACAAAGACGGTGCGACAACAAATTATGTCAATGCGACACAGTGATTAACGTCAAGACCTAAGCCATGAGAAGCAGCAATGCTCTGGACATACAAAGTGTGCCTGCTTATTTCCGACCAAAGTGATATGGGACCCTCGCGACTGTGGTGTCTCCACGCCTCATGGAACCGTACATCTACTTCCGATAGAAACGTGTCTCCGCGACGAATCGGACACTTCTCGTGACGGCGGTACCGATGTTTCGTCTAGTATAAAAAGCGGCCCTCAGGCCACAGCAGCGTTGAGGCGACAGTCTGTCTCCATATGCCGGAGACGGGACAAATTAGTTCGCCGAAGGGCGCTTTCTGAGGAGGGCCACATTCATCATTGAGCATTTCCGGAATGGAGGTGTCTGACGGCTCCAGCTTGTGGCCCTTTGGGACTGCAAAATGTGCTGCATCAAACATGGTGCATGACTGCATGACTTTGGCTTCCCATCCTGCAAATCTGTCAGATGTTGAATTTTAAAGAGAAAACTTCACCTCCTAATATATCGAAGTTTTCCTGCTTGAACATTTAATGAAAATAATGAGTGCCGTTTTCTTTTACACGTGTACCAGCTGGAATTGCATCTGGCACTGTACAATGTCTGCAAATATGAGCATTAAATCATCAAATATCATCCTCTCACACATGCAGGGCCATCGTTTCCTGCCAATCAAATATTCTCAGAGCGTATTGTACGACGTGATCCGCTCTTTGTAGGACCCAATCTACAGGGCTTTCGGTGGCGATTTCTTCCAATGAGCTCCTCTCTTCGCGGCGCTCCGCCGAGTTTAAACGTGACGAGTCTCCTTAGCGAGCTCGAGCCCGTAAACCGGGGCGCTCTAACGGCCAGAGTCGACGCCAAATTAACCGTGACCTTTTCATGACGGCCGCCGATTTCAGCAGGCATTTTGTCAGCTGGTCGCTGGCTCATGGGATGAGATTATCAGCGAGGCATGGCCAATATCCTGGGCCACTTACCGGGGATATTTCGGTGACTGATTAACTGTCCTCACTATGCGGAAACTAAGAGATATGGGAACTTCGCCGCGTTACCACAGTTTTAGCATAATTCATTAATCGCCGACCACATCTTTCGGAAGAGCGAATTTCACTGCTATTTATAACACTTAGAAGGGCAATGGCTAAAGTTAGATCGGAGATAAATCGTCGCTCACAGGAATTTTTGGACGGAGAATGGATGGGGCTATCTGGATATATTGTATTCCAATGAATCAATCATCTGACGCACGATATTCAAAGAACATAATATGCCCTAGCCCAGTTAATTTTTAACATAACATCATTAATAGGTTTAAGCAATGGAGACAGTACATATAACAACAGATATAGCCACGCCTAATTTTTGGCAATGCTGAAAGTAGGGTACCGTTATTGATGTTTAGCAGAGGAATATTGCGTGTATTATGTTACGGATATGGCGATCTGTCGCATACGAGTAATGACGGCATTTGTGACTAATTTGGTGGAATAATGGACCATCTGAGACTTTTCCCAGGCGCCGCGCCTTTATGGATCGCCGGGCACAGGGTGGGAATGGAAGCGAGGGACGCTGCTAGGCCGAACGGGGCAGGTAAAATCGGTGGCTTGGGATCGAGCTGAAATAGGAGTTACAAAATTATCGCATGCGTAAATTAACTATTTGCCCAGGGTTGAGGGTGCAATCACTGGTTCGATCGCTTACCAATTAATTCAACATGATCCAATGACGGTGCACCTATATGACCGATGTTGTCAACTCACGTGACACTTTTCGGATTAGCATCATTAGCATCGGTTGTGTTCCTAATATGTTCGTGTCTGTCAAAGCGGTCGCTGCTGCCCCTCCTTCCAACCCAAACAAACACAAGCAGTGTGACGTCAGCACTCAGCGCATATGGTTGCATTCTAGTGCCGAGTTTTCGTATTCACCTTTACATCAGCTCTAGCCCCAATGCACATTTCTGGCGTACCCGTAACAAACTCAACTCAGCCGCTCAAGATTATTTTGTTAGTATGTAAAGATTGTTTTTAAAAGGCTCGCTTGCTCTAACACTATCAGCATTCGAGTATGAGCTCAGAGAAACTACAGCATAATAAAAATAGCATGGCCGAATGTTCATTGAGTTCTGCATTACTTGCCATAGCACGGAAATGACGCAGTGTCGGTGGCTGTATATTTGCGGGGGCTACCGTACCGCTAGACCTAGACCAACGTCAATAAACATCGTGAATATGTTTCGCAGGCTGCCCGGCGGACACCACCAACTCTGCCGAAGACAGATTGCCGTCGGCAGCAGTTCAGAGGCGGGAAAACAGCGGACCTGTCAGCGGTCTTCTGGCGGGCGTCGTCGTGCGAGGAAGACGAGTGCTGCTTCAAACGGCGCCGAGAGCAGTGTGCTCCTGTGGAATAACACATCACGAGTGTCTGACTCGAGAGCCATCATCACTAGTCTCCCGAGTCCCGACATCCATCGCCAGGCCACTGCTGACATGAACGCACCTCCGTAGCGTCTGCCTGCCGACCTAGGTAGTTCGGATCCGTGCTCGCTGTGCTCTCCGAAGACGTGAAACATGGAGGAGAACCACTCGGCCATCACCACGGCGGCCATGGACTCGCCCGGCTACCCGTGGGAGGTGAAGCTGACGTTGCTGGTCGTGCTGCCACTGCTGATCCTGTGGACCGTGGTCGGTAACCTGCTGGTCTGCGTGGCAGTGTGTCTGGTGCCTCGGATCCGCAGCCAGCCGTACACGGTGCTGTACGTCTCGCTGGCCGTCGCAGACCTCTTCGTCGCCGTACTGGTGATGCCGATGGCGTTGCTGTACCTCTGGGCGGGCACGTGGCGCTTCGGACGCACCCTCTGCGACGTGTTCGTCTGTGCGGATGTTCTCTCCTGTACGGCGAGCATCCTGAACCTGTGTGCCATCAGCGTCGACCGGTACCAGGCCATCACCAACCCGCTGCGCTACTCACAGCGGCGCGTCGACAAGCTGATGGCGGCCTACATCGGCGTGGTCTGGGGAGGCGCCGTCTGCATTAGCATCATTCCCATCGCCATCATCGGCAACGAGCACGGCAACGACGACGCCTGCGCCGTCAGCCAGAACCTCTACTATCAGGTATGGGCGACGCTCATGTCGTTCTACCTACCGCTAGCCGTGATGATCTTCGTCTACTTCAAGATCCTGCGAGCGGCGCGCATCATCGTTCGCCAGGAGCGGCGCGCGCAGGGTCACCTGGCGCAGCGGGCGGCAGTGCTGCAGCGAGGCTCTCACGGCTCCCAGGAGCTGCAGCTCTGCACTGTGGTCACTCGGCACGAGACGCCGGCGGCCAAACAGAGACCGCGGCTCCGCTGTCCGTGGTCGCTGTCGGTACCGCGCGAGAAGAAGGCCTCGGTGACGCTAGGCATCATCATGACGGCGTTCATCGTGTGCTGGCTGCCGTTCTTCATCTTGGCGGTGCTGCGGCCGATGGTGCCGCGGGGCTCCATCCCTGACTCAGTGTCCGACGTCTTCCTCTGGCTGGGCTACTGCAACTCTTCGCTCAACCCGGTCATCTACGCCACCTTCAACAAGGACTTCCGGCGGCCGTTCCGGGAGATCCTGTGCCTGCGCTGCCGCAGTCTGAAGCCGCTCCTGCGGCAGGAGCAGTACCAGGAGCAGTATGGCAACTCGCAGGTCTCCTGCTCACAAGCGATACAGGTGAGGGCCGCAGCCAGTCGCGCGGTGTGCGCGAAAGGAAAAGGGAGGCTTCAGGGAGTTCTTGAAAATTATCGGTGCTTCTTTTTTGGGCGGCGGATGTGCCTGCTGTTTACTGCCATATAGTGAAGCAGATTCGGTTATTTTTCTCAGAAGTTTTGCTTTCACAGGATATTGATCAATGTGGGAAGTTCAATGATAAGCGACTTACCTGAAAGGCAGTAAAACTTGGTAGCTCGGCAGTTACGGAACCGACGGAGCCGTTCAATTTTGCCCGGGCGGTGTTCGGGGAACCATCGACCCATTCCGGAGCACAGAGAACGCGTGGCAGCCGTGGTGATTTGCGTTTTGGACGCGCCGACTCCACATTGCACGGGACCCATTTTCATGCAGGTTAATGGTGCGAGGAAATTGGGTTTTGTTTATGATTCCCCTGCAGTCTGACTTACAGCTTTATTGGGAAGCTTTCCAAATAAACCGATGAGCTGAAGCCGATTTTATGATTCAGTGGCATGTGCGATGAATATTTTTGACGTTATTGCATCGTTTTTCTCAAAATGTAACTCTAGTTCGAGGGAACTTTGTCAAAGATTCGGAAATATCTCCAATGATTGAGTAGATTTCCTCACTGTGGCTGACTAACCAGGCTCGCATTGAACTGACTCTTTCAGCAAAATCCAATATTCTTCCGTTCGCATGCCTGAAAATAGTATTCCTTAGAAAATCTTGCTCCATATTCATCGTGCCAGTACAGAAGCCGAATGACCCACTGATTGAGTTTGATAGCGCGTCTGATGACCATTTGAACCACTTATTGCTATTTGGCTGGCATCGTGTAGGGGAGAGTGGGGTAAGATGCCCAGGGTGGGAAAGACGCCCCACCCCCTCTAGCGGGGAAACAAAGAATCGAATCTGGAAATTAATGTTCTTAGCGTAAAGCGGAAGCCTGCCTTGTTAACTGCACAAAAATTTGCGAAGCTCAGTTGGGCAACGGCTGGCTGGTGATTGCATGTTTTTTATTTGCTGCTTTCAAAAAGTATTTTGGCGTCAAAACATTGTAAATATCAAAGAAGGTAGATAATTTTTGCGTCCCTTGCTATAGTCGTGATACATTAACATGCGTGTACTGTGTCCCAAACAGTTTGTTTCAGGGTGTAGTTTTATGGCTAACAAATTGTGCTGATTTAATGTTACTTCGGTACCTTGGGGTAAGATGCCCCCTGTCCTGATGGGGAAAGATGCCCCCCTAAATCCGTAGGCTGTCCTTCAAGCAGCCCGTCAAATCATTTATTACATACTTGTGATGAGAGACAAAAGCCGATCTGAGACTATTGAGAGTCCGGTACGGTCGGGTGCTCCCCATGCCGGTCTCTCGGCCCACACAGCGACTTTTTGGGCGGCATCTGACTCTGAGAGCCCTCACGACGGCCTCTGTGGGCCCCATTATTGGTTCCAGGGCCCCTCACGACGTCCTTTGAGGGCTCCCACGTTGGCTCCACGGGCCGCGCTGGCATCTGAGGCCCCCACGATGGGCTCGAGGGCCCTCAAGCATCATGAAGACCTATAAGGGCCCCACAGTGGTCTCCGAACGCCACCACGGAGGCTTGTTTGGCCACGCTGGACTATGATGGCCCTAACGATGACCTCTGAAGCCCCTTACGACTACTTTTTAGGGCCCTTACGATGACGTTTGGTGTCTACTGCAGGCTCAAAGGGACTACTGATTCGTTCAGGCGATTCACGTGCCTATTTATGTCACTTATAGTGCAGGGGGCATCTTACCCAACGCCAGGGGGCGTCTTTTCCACCCTGTGGGGTAAGATGCCCCCTTTCACTTCTTCAGGAAAATGCTTAATAGCAAAAAAGTTATCATATTTCAGGCACGAAAGTGTGATATTTTTGGAGAAAAATGATGTCGGCTTCCGTTGAAACTCCAAGTTTTGGCTTTCCGATCGTCATTTTCGAATAATATATGACATAGTCAAACCCTGGGCATCTTTCCCCACTCTCCCCTACCTAATGTCGTCATTGTTATAGCACTAATTCATTTTTCGCTTCAAAATGAAATCTTTCGATTATTCTGCCATCTCTTCACTACACATCTGCCGATCTTTCCATTTTAGCCTATGCACAGTTTTTGCTGTTTAACTCTTTCGGTATTTTAACAGCTTTCACCATTCTCCGTCAACGCTCCCATGTTACGGTGTTTTCATATTTTTCTTCTTCGTGTACTGCTTCTGTCCCGACAGCGAATGCGTCCCGATTCACCGTCTCAGTAATTCGTGCATTGTACAGGTCTCGCGGGTTTTAGCGGTAGGTTTTGCATCTAGAAAATTTAGTGTACTTCAGGCTATATCTTCGTCGTCTCAAGCTTTTAAGTGTTGAAGATGCGATCGACTTGTTGGTTCACAAGCCGGCCATGATCGTGTAAAATGGCTTCATCGTAGATCGATTAGTTTCTGAGATATAACCGGAAATGTAAAAGTGCAAAACCTACTGCTTCACCTCGCGAGAGCCGTAGTTATGTCTGACTGCCATCTTCATGGATTTCTGACTTGTGACTACCGTCTCTTATAACCTCTAAGAATGTTATTCAGATAGCGAATGTGTTGGGGTGGTCTCCGAATCTGGCCTGCACGGTTGTTGTACGGATTCTGACGTGTCCGTGTCCCGTGCTGGCAGCTGCCGTTGGTGGTGTACCCTACCGAGCCGACCGGCGAGGACAGCTCCATCCTGACCGGGATGTCTCCGTCGCCGGGCGCGCGGTCAACCGGACGGGACACGACCTGGCTGACTGCTGAGAGGACCACCAGCGGCGGTGGCCACTGGGGCAACGGGGTCAACCACGAGTCCACACTCTGAGTCGGCCCGCTGAGTCGGCCCTCTGAGTCGGTCCTCTGAGTCGGACCGCTGAGTCGGACCTCTGAAGATGGGTCAGTGAGTCGGACTCAGAAACCTCAGCTCATAAAACAGCCGGCTGTACCGGGCGGCCGGGTCAACTCAGGACAAATCTGGTCTGTTGGTATTGAGGGAGACCTGATAAACTCAGTGGACCGGTGAGAATTGGTGACTCAGTTGACATACCTACTCTGTGAGAGTGGATCGAATGGCTATTTCCAACCGACCAGAAGGACGGTTGGTATGTCACTGTGGGTATACTGTCTTTTGTTGATACACAAAGGATGACTTTGAGCCACCCAGAAATTGTGTTCGGAAACTGTGGCCTGTGGAATAACACAGGCAGGCTAACCCAGACTACTACTCAGACTGTGTGCAATGACTGACGGTGGCAGACTGTACCAGACTGCAACAGGATAGATGACGGTGGCAGACTGTAACAGACTGCTGTGGTAGCCTGCATCAGAAGACTGTTTTAGAACGCTAAGACTGGTTACTGCTCAGACTCTGCATGTGCGGCACACTCCATTAGACTGATCAGACTTTGTGCAATGGACGATTTCTACAGACTACAAACTGCACAGACTACATGCGGTGGCCGTCGCCGACAGACTTGCGACAGTCCGCCCAGACGCTGGCAGACTGCTCCTTTGACAGTCTGACCCGGACTGCTGTCGTCCGTCGCTGTGATGACCGATAGCACTGCAGCCGAGACCCGGAGCTCGACAGCTCGGTCTGTCTGTGGCCACAGGCTGTCAGCAAATCGCCAGCCGCATATGGATCTCCCTATTTTGCTATGCTGCTGACGACGACCATTGAATGGTTTTGTTGTGTTGTTGATTTTATGGTGTTATTGGGTTTGTGATCAGGTTTGATGTCTAGTAAATGGTGTCAGTGTTGGATCTCATTAAAGTTGGATTGGTCTGCTCTATTTGATGAAAGACCATCCGACTTCCTTGCAACTTCGCTGGCTGTTAAAAAGTATCTCTCGTTTGTTGCGGGCTTGTTGATGATCATAATTTATTGCTTGCTGTTAATGAAAGCTAGTTAAAGTTGGACTGAGATACATTTATATCGCGTGTCGTCAAAACGTTAGTTTTTTGTGACATATCGCACTGTAATAAAAAAAAAAAATGACAATGTGCTACTACGTGTCTTAAGTCGACACCCATATAGAGGTTTATTGCCTTTGCACCTCATCAACATACCGGGCGGTGACCGTCATCCGTGCTGGGCTTCATTACAAACACTCCAGTGAGCTCATCATTTACTGGAACAACGCGACGTCCTGGCAGTGTCAATGATGTTTGATAACAAGCGGAAGTGACACCTTATTTGAAAATCAATAGACTCTTGATTATCTACGCAGCGATTTTCACTAATTTCGAAATGAACCATGTTAATGAGCGACAGATTTGTAAAAGGAACAAAACGAAATGCACAAAATAGTAAGCATTCGACGCTCACCTATCAATTATCCACACACAAATACAAAATAGCAAGGAATCAAACGCAAAAGGCATCATCAATTATCAATTAATTATCATCTACAATTAGCAAAGCGGTAGAATTGATTTTTTTCAAGTTTGTCAACCGTAAATGAAAACAACTGATGGGTACGGTCCGAAGATGTTAAGGTGGTCTGCCACCACCACCACAGACTCGAGGCTGAGTGTGAGCACACCGGACTCCAGCACGGTGGACCTATAGAGCTGCCCAGAGGGCGAGAGGCACGCCAAACTACCCTGGCGATCAACACATAACTCTGTCCTTGAGCGGCGCCGGCATACCGACGGTCACGAGGGGCGCAGCTTACATCGCAAACACATCGGAACTGGAACGGTCAGGAAACGTGCAGATTCGACTCATTCGACTCAGAAGACCAAAATAATACATCCCAAACCAAGCAGACAAAATAAATTATAGCTTTCGAAAATCAATAAAAGCTGGTGATAAGTTTTCAACAAAATTTTGTTTGTGATATGTCAGCAGCTATGTAAGTACATGTCTCGCGTTACTCGAGATATTATTGAGGTAGAGCATTTCGTCGGCCGCGTATTACCCTCAAGCGGTCGTACATTCCCAATCTTGCCGGCTGCAGCTATCTTCGCTTTGCAGGGAATGACGTTTAAGCCCCTGGATTCTCTAGCAAATCCCGCGGCGCATACTCCCTGGCGAGTTGAGAGCCGGATTTACATAAATATCACCCTGTCCCCTCTAACTCCTCATTTATAAGTCAGCCGACAGTTTGCCAAATTTAATGGTTCTCTGCAGAGCCGTGAACTATGCCAAAGACATGATTTTGCTCAGGCATAAGAGGGGATTGGATCATCAAAACCGAGCAGAAGACAGATAATGATCGTGAATTCAGCGGATTAAAAGTGTCTGCTCAGCAAAAGAAGATTAGGAAGCGACTAGAAAATGCAAAAGACATTAGAGAAAAGGATAAAGGAATTAATAAAGACGAAAATACAGCCGACTGAAAAATAACCTAACGTTAACCGACAATGAACCGAGGCGATTTCTAAGACTATGGTGACGATGAAGACCGTCGTGCCGCCATGGTGGTGATAATGTTGATAAATGATGATTATTTATTAGGCAAACATGTGCCATGAGACAAAAATTATACGGGCAGAAATACACACTCAACACAGATATGCAAAGAGAGAGAGAGAGAGAGAGAGATAGAGAGAGAGAGAGAGAGAGAGAGAGAGAGAGAGAGAGAGAGAGAGAGAGAGAGAGAGAGAGAGAGAGAGAGAGACAGAGACAGAGACAGAGACAGAGACAGAGACAGAGACAGAGACAGAGACAGAGACAGAGACAGAGACAGAGACAGAGACAGAGACAGAGACAGAGACAGAGACAGAGACAGAGACAGAGACAGAGACAGAGACAGAGACAGAGACAGAGACAGAGACAGAGACAGAGACAGAGACAGAGACAGAGACAGAGACAGAGACAGAGACAGAGACAGAGACAGAGACAGAGACAGAGAGAGAGAGAGAGAGAGAGAGAGAGAGAGAGAGAGAGAGAGAGAGAGAGAGAGAGAGAGAGAGAGAGAGAGAGAGAGAGAGAGAGAGAGACGGAGGATAGACAGACTGACAGAGTCGAGAGGTATAAATATACAGGGAGAGTCACAAGATCATCTGCGTCTCCTCTGCACGCCAAGGTGTGAGGCTCGATCACTCAGGATTATCACTGACGTGTTCCCTTATGGATGTGTTTAGACTTGCGGCGAAACGGCCGTACCCAGTCACCTTACGTTGCGGTGCAGCCTGTCACGGCTAGGCTTTAGTGAGCGTGTGATAAATTTGGCGCCTTATTCAGGCGTGCCACTCGGTATCTACGTTTAGCTAGAATCCAATGCTGCGAGCCTACCACAAGATGGCCATAAGTAACGGTTTTGACCATGGCAGCGACTGGCCGTTGCCGTATACGAGACAGAGATCATGCATAGCCATATCAGAGGTGGTATTCTTGCTGGCGTTCCTGTAACTCACGATGTGGTAATGACATAGCTCCTTAAAGCCTCGCGCATATTCTTATCAGCCCATTCACCTTTGGCTGGATTCGCTCAGCTTTTGAGGGAATTTTTTCAAGTCCACAAACGACAAAACAGTGCAATTCAAATCTTTTTATCTATATTTCGCAGACGTTTCAACGACAAGGCGTCTTCGTCAGTGCCAATGAAATGAAACTTAGTACATATGTTTAATTAATTAGCATATTCGATAGCATATTCAATAGGATATTCGACAAATATTCGATAAATTACTATTCGTATTCGTTCAATCGTTCACATGAAAATGACACAGGATACATTTTGAGGGAATGATCAGAAGTTTCAACAACTTTTGAAGCAGCATCCAGTATAGCCAGTAACTATCACCTCGGCGGAAGTGACCACCCGCTCAGCAGAAGTGACCACCCCTCTGCGGTGGTGACCACCTTCAGGGGCTGGGTCTCCGGCGTGCGCCGTCTGCCGGCGACGCGCCATCCATCGGAGCGGGAGCGGCATGGGCCGGCGTCGCACCTCCACCGTCTATCCATCGCAATCACTCTCCAGCGCCGTCCGTGGTCATTGGATGGGATTAACACGGTCTGAGGGAGTGCTGCAGCTCGAGAAGGGATGAGGTGAGGGCGGACTCGAGAAAGGATAGGATGAGAGAAAGAGAGAGCTGCTGCAGCTCAGGGGGTTTGGGAGTGAGTAAGACTTGCAGCTCAGGGTGGAAAGTGAAGTGAGGGAAGGCTGCAGCTGAGGGAGGGATGGGGCGAGGGAACGTTGCAGCCGAGAGAGCGATGGGGTGAGGAAGGACTCAGTGAGGAAGGGGGTGGGGGAAGCTGCAGCTCAGGTTGGGGTGAGGTGAGAGGAGGCTGCATCTCAGTTGACGAGTGGTTGGCATGCGATCGTTACGTTGCACTGCTGTGCCGTTCAGGGAAGGAAATGTTCAGAAATATGAAACCCACTTCGAGAGTTTGTGTAAAGTAAACGCTGCGCTGATAGCTTCCCGCGGGGTAACTACTCGATTCCATCAGCAGTGAACACACAGTGCGGCACCGCTCCTGTCGTCCGTGTTGTTCCCGTGAACTTGCCCTGTTAAACCGGAGAGAGTAACAAGATTCCGAGAGGCTGATTGAAGGAATAGTTTCCCGAGTTGCGCTGAGGAGAACAATGCCAAATTGGGACCGTGTTAAATGTAATACTGGATAAGAGCTGTAAATGTTTAGAACTATCTAAGGTTATCTAACTTTATTGAATATACTTAATATTTAAGTAAACCAAATTGTCCTCCGGAATTCATCTTACTTCACTTGGTTTTTAGCACATTTACCTACTTTTACTTGCATGGCTTACAGAGGGTTCGTCACCATAAGACACATTGATTCAGATAAAATCCTTATATGAAGTACACTGTACATACCTATTATACACCATTTCTCGCCTGGTTCCGACCAACATCGAGGTGGCAAGAAGCTGGGGTGATCAATCTCACCGAGTGGTGATGATACGGCTAAAGAAATCTCTCGACAAAGCGCAAGTTAAAGTACCTACCATCTCATTTTTGCATTAAATTGCAGTTGAAACGACTCAGTCGTTGCCTGAGCCGGGCAATGAAATTCCAGCGTGTCGCAAGGCCCGGGACGCATGTACGGTGACAAGTCTTTGATGAGTTAGATTGCACGCTCCTGGACAACAGAATTCAGAACGCTATTTTTTAAGAAGCGTTTTTTTAGCATAGAAAGCATCTGCAGTGCCCTATGCGCACATCGTACAAAATCGTCCTACTGTAGATAAGGCTTATATCATACAACACATTTACCTGTATCCGAACTGAACGCTTAGGCCGAAGGTTAGTTATCAAATGAGTGCCTGGACTCCTATCAAATTCCGGCAGTATCGAGGATTAAAAAATCATAAGTAACGTACGAGTGTTTGTATTTACTTCTATTTTGCGACGCCCTAACTTATAGGGTCAAATTCCTTCAGATTTTTGAAAACCAAAATGTCAGCAAGCTTCAAACATGAAAAAAAGTGATAATTGGGCGAAAGCTACGCAATTTGTGACCGTAGTGACCGTGGTGCAATTAACAGATTATCCACGAAATGAAGATTGCGTATCACTTGAACAGTAATAAATTGAAGCAGAATAACAGTTCAGTCCGCAAGAAAGCACCCATATGCTTATAAATTAAACGGTCAGAGCGTTCTTACGTCATATCGTAAAGCCAGCTTAGTACCTACCTATGCGCTTCTTTTGAAAGGATCCGTCTTTGCAGCAGACAGAGACACTGCATTGCAACGGACTGGTACCGCAGGCAGCATGCACGTTGCACGTTGCACACTCATGCACGTTGCACGTTGCACACTCATGCACGTTGCACGTTGCACACTGTACACCGGCCAAGTCTTGACAGGTTCACCGGGAACAATACAGGCATACTGGGCCACTGCCGTTTTTTATGGTGCGGACATTGAAGACTCGTATTCGTAATATGTTTCCGACAATACGTAGTCAGGGAGGGAGGGACACTTCAGGGCGCGCGTGTT